TAATAATATAGTCGTATTTAGAAAAGAAAAAGAAACACTTGTTAGGACGTCAGCCAGAAAAATCGGCCAAGTGCGAGTCCGACTCGAGGGTTCCGTACCATCATCAGCTATGTTGGCAACACTGCTTCTATTATATATTCTAGGATTTTTAGTATTGAGGAGAAGTAATGCTAACGCTGTTCCTCATCCGTCCCTCGATTAACTCAAAAAATAAAAAAAGGATTTTTAGTATTGGTTGTTATAGCATCCAGGGAAATACATAATCTGTGATAATTTCAACTTTCTAACTTTCATGGTTCATGAGATACATCCTGGTAATAGGCTTCGTTTTACCGTACGGAACCCTAAAAACTGACGTGAATTAATATTATCAAGTCCTACTTGATAAGCTGTGACGGCACCGCGACTGAAGCAGTATATTAACGTGGAGAGTAAATAAGATAAACTGACTTTGGCGTCGTGGGAGGGGGTGCACGGGGGTTACAATATTAAACATGATTTTTGGACAGCTGAAATGGCCGCGAACGAGTTACGCGCACTTTCCGGTGGAAACGATTTTCATTGACCGCCGTCCAATTCTATTTTAACTCCTCGACGAGGTCCGTTGTGCGCGTTATTGGCCGTACCGCGGAAAGCCTACAATGCCCAGAAACCGTTTAAAACGATCGGAGTCGTCGGAAATCGGACGAGTTGGCTCGTTCCCAAACGTTTTGAATAACGCCCGCGACGTGCATTATATTATTATACCAGAAACCTCGGACAAACCTGACTTATAATATGTGAAAGTATTTTTTTTCTTATTTTTTTTTTTTTTGATTTCGGACGTTTTCCTTCCTCAAGTATTATTACATATTTTCAATAGTTCCGAACTCGTAGACGGCTCGAGACCAAACATAATAATAATAATGCACAAACGACTTCAGACATTACAATGTGGAACTTTTTTGTTGAAAAGCATTTTCATAAGATAATATATTATATTTTGTGATGGGTAAATACGGTGTCAATTTAGGTTTTTTTCATGTTAATAGGTACAAAGGAGTATAATATTGTATATACCCTTTAAAGTGGATAAAAAAGTAAAAAAAAATCGATAAACATGTTGGTAGTTCAATAATATAAAACGACAGAAATATAAATAAAAATAATGTGTAACAATACAATTGTAATGCTTTGCAATAGAGACAAGAAATACATTATTTTTATAGATGTACAGATATGATACGATACGTAATTAAATACACAATTTCCAAATCACAACATTTCGATTTATTTTAACTTTAAAATAGTAGAATGTATTTTATATTGATTAACATAATCTACGCATTAAGCAATAATTTTACTGTCAAAAGGAATATCTTAATGCGAGTTTGTTTAAAATGCTAAACTACCAGTCAAACAAAATGTATTAAGTATTTTAAACTCAACGTATAAACACTATATAAAACAGATACCTACATAAACAAACCCGTTATTGTATTGAGATAAATAGAGTATTATTTAATGAGGCGCCAAAGTTATTTTTAAGTTATATTGCAGACACCCCGCACCTCACCCCCAATAACCCCTAAGAAAAATCTACGTCAAACAATAATACAAATAAAATATTAACCATATGTATTGATTACTATCGAATTTGAATCAACAATGTTGCAGAAGTATTTATATGCAAATTTTCCAATTGGATAGCAACTATATATGTGTCTATGCGTCATAATATACGTCATGAAATTATCATAATATAATATAGTATAAAGTATTAATATCCAATCAGAAATTCATTTCCAAAATAATAAGTACAGAACATCATTAATGATTTACGATGCGTTTTTTGCAAGTGAAAAATAAATACATAATATTTTACTAATCATGATGTTATAATATTGTAGGAACATGTTTTAAAAACAAAAATACAGGTCAATTCAATTGTGCAAACATAATATTACTATAAGATACTTATGTCCTATATATATATATATTACATTATATAATATAGACTATACAGTATACAGTCATAATAGAATCATTATTTTAAACAAAGAAGTTTTGGCTATTAACCATAAATAATGTAAGAAAAACAACATTTTATACTTTAAGAAAAGAATATATTTGATATTTATTTTACCGTTATTTAATTCTTCATAGAAATGCATATTTTATAAGCATTGCTGCATCTCATTTTCAATATTTTATAAATTTTTTTCTCTATAGATTAAACGGTGGACATGATAAAATAGTAAAAAATAATTTCAAAAAAGGATTAAACATTACAAATCGTTACAGTAATGTATTAGTGGTGTTTGGATATCAATAAAATATATTATATATTTTAAATGGCTTAACAATAGGCATTAGATCTGAGCACTCTGCAGTACCTTCAAATACGTCCAAGTTCAACAAGAATTCTGAAAACTGAAATTTTCTTAAAATTAGTGCATTTTTGGTGAAGAGAGCTCTAAGGTCAATCTATGAAAAAAGTGATATATACATTGTGGCCAAGTCTACTCTTTCTTAAGGGCGTCGGAATCAGTTCGTTTTTTAATACAAAAACATGTCTTACAGGAAAAACTCTCAAAAACTGTAAAATAGTCAGATTTTGTTATTTTTTGTTATTTAAAATAAGAGAACACCAAGTCTAATTTAAAAAATTATAATTATAGAAATTAAAATACACATTTGATTAATGTACAATATTTGTTCTTTTACATTTTCTACCACTATTTAAAGTAAAATGAAAATTTGAACTTTGATCCGACTTGAAAAATTTCTCAAAAAAAAAATTAACGGAATCCGACTATTCTACAAGGTGTGAGAGTTGATATAATACACTGTGTCAACAATCCCTACGTAGGTATCAAGCTGCAGATTAGTGGAAAATTATTATAATAAAGGTAGTAACTAAAATATAAAATATAATTTTCAAATTGTATAGGATTTTGGCAACTTGGAAAAATGGGCACCGACACCCTTAAGTCCAAACCTCGCTTCATTCCTACATTTATGAGCAACAATGATCTTATTTTTTTATTTCTGAACACTTGTACAGTTTCCTACCAACCAAACGAATGAGTGATGGAAATAAGAGAGCTCAGAACAAAAGAAAAAAATTAAAGACCACCTCCCAAAAAAGTCATCCTATCAAAGTAATAGTGTCTACTTTGTGCCCAATTCTGTTTTATGCCTCATTAAAAATTTTTTGACACCGAAAAATGAAACATCGCACTTGGGTATTTGTACCAGGTGCTAACAACTCACAAGAGGCCAATTCAGAAACCGGCCAAGTGTTAAGCAATAAAAATAAAAGATCATTGTTGCTCGTGAAAGTAGGAGTGAAGTGAAGTTATGGACTAAAGAAAGATTGGACTTGGTTACAGACTTTCAGCGTAGATATCACTACTTTGATAGGCTGACTTTTCTTGTTAAGTGGTCTTTAACTTGGTATTTATTTACTGGTTAAGTTTTTGATGTGGATGAAAATTTATATTAAACTTAAAATTTTATCCAAACCTATTTTAGGGTATTTATTTTTTCATTTTCCTCGCATATTAGGCCACATTATATTTCTTACTCATTTATGTAAGTAATTTACACAAGGAATAAATTACCTACAATATAATTTATTTATTAGAACCTTAGTAATTTTCTCTAATAAGGTATTCAATAAAAAGTATCTATAAACTACATGCATACCTAGTTATTAATACTAATTAGGCACTACAAAATACAAATTATTACACATTATTATAATATATTCGTATTATAATGTATTAAAAAAACCGAGAAAGGAAGATTCCTTATTAGTCAGATGATGTATGAGGCACCTGAAAGGTTTATTGTTTAAATAATGCATAGTATTTAAACTATACGTATAAAATACGTATCACTGTAGCTTAGTACTTGAAATTGCAAGTTGCAAGTATAGTAGTGAGATGATAACATGTCCAACTTTAAGTATTTTTTTTTAATACAACAATCGTATGACTAATTTAAAGTTTTTTTTTAAAAGGTTATAAAATAATAATGACTTGGAGATACAAACTATTATTTTTGTTTTGAAAGAGATTTATTTATACATTTTCTGAATGTAAGTATGGTATAGTTTATGAAACTCAAAACATTTATTACATTTTTAAAATACTGGAAATACGACATATACTACCCAAATATTGTTAAATTTTTTAAACCATGCAAATACAATTTAAGCGATAGGTTTTTCATTTCGTTTGAGTATTAAGCTTTCAAACTAAAAAATAATATTGACGCATTATATATACGTATAATAAACCCACCCCGGCTTTCAATGTTCAAAAAATGAGTATTTATTTTATAATTTTTTACGTTTTTTTTTTTTTTTATCGACAGTTGCTTATCCCTGACGAACAAAAAACCCTTGATGTATGTATAGTTGTGTACAAACGAATAACGTTTTAAGTGGAATATACCGATATGTATTATAAATAATAAATTATATTAAGTTTATACTCCATCGGGTTGTGTTTATAGAGACATACACATAAACTAATGGTATTATAAAAGAACGGAAGGGGCACGCTCTGGAATGCGTCTAGTGCTAGGTTTTAAATGAAAACGTCATTCCACACCATGATATTATATTTACTACAGCCGGGGATGGAGATATTTTATTTAAGAAAAAAAAAATTGCACATTAAGACTATTTATTGCTTACATTTCGTCGTTTGGTCCGTTCGTTCTTTTCGAACGCTTATTTTGTTCGTCCACAACCCCACTCCATCAGCCTCACAGCCGTCAGCCATTCGAAACACAATAATAATAATATTATAGTCACGGTAGTCATAGCGACTGATTTTGAAGTCATCACAACAAATGGAGAGCGCGTGTGACTGTGTTATGCGGCGGACTCCTACGAGTATTTTGATGTGTTTCGATATGCACAGTTTTACGGAATTCGCTTGTATTTGTTTATTCGGTCGGGAAATCAAATCACAAAAATCCTCTCATAATATATTTCCATTAGAACGATGAAGTTGAAACATTTGCAGTCGTTGACACAGCAGACGGAGGTAAGTGGTCTCTAGGCAGTATAGAATAATACGCGGGTAGACAAACGGTGAGCGAAACTTTTTTGAAAATTTCATTGCTGTCAACAACATAATGTGAATACTTATTTCAAGACACAAGTGACGTATTTGTTACGTTTCGCGTTGGCATGGGGAAAGGGTACATCAGAAAAGAGCACGTCTGAGTAGAAATTTGAAGGTTAGCAATGCCGGCTGCAAATAATTTCTCTTGACGAATAAAATGTTTTTAAGAGAATATTTGATTATGCAAAACGGAGAGCACTTCTTTTTTATTTTGCATATTAAAGAGTTATACATATTTCTTTGAACAGTGTGATAATTTTAATAATAAAGACCAAAGTCAAATCATTTTACAACTTTTCTACGTTTATATTATAAAATGAGTTTGAAGTTCGTTTATCACATTTTGCAAGTTTTTGTATAAAACTCGAATATTTATTATCCAATATATATTTAATAAAATAATATGGTTTATGCGTCAAACTTAATTTCATTAGGATCTTTAAAATGGATTCTATTATACGTTCGTATATTATATTTATACATAATTACAATGAGTACAATTTTGTACTAGACATTTTTTCGTTAACTATATTAATTAAGTGTTGTCAATGTGAAAGTTTTTTTAATTAAGTCGAAATTTATTATTGGTTATATTGTTTAGCAATACATTGAGTATCCAATATGCCACAATTTTAGAATTAAATTTAAGCGATAATGACGCTTCATGATTTATCATCCTAAATTTGTGACGTATAAATAGTTTTATACTTCAAGAAATATTAATACATACATTAAAATATCTATATGTGCATAGATAAATCGAATTTGATAATAATTGTATTTTTTTTATCATCGATAATATAAATAAAGTCAACTCGTTCGTAAATAATTTTACAAAAAAACCTTTAACAATATAATATTAAATTTATAATTTACAATGTTATTATTTTTCGGGAGTCACACTAGTCACACTATTATTTTTAATAACATGAAACATTATTTTATTTTAGAAAATGAATTATTTCTCCTAAATTTATTTGTTTCATTGGGAATTACACTAACTTCAATTTGAAGTTATATGGAATAATATGATATTGTGTAAATGTGTAATACAATACTCTCTTATAATATAAAATTATAAATATTCATGATAATATTATTTCTAAATTTAATAGTTGAGATGATGGTATTTTTCAAATAATGTATCGATTCGTATGCACATTTATTTAACCAAATTTATACTATTTGAACTCGTTGTATTGATATTGAAGACTTTTGGTTGTGAAAAATACTTATACCCCCACAAATAAATTATGGAATAAAATATATGATAATGTGTAAAATTCTGGGTCCTAGGGAGTAGGAGCTTATTTTCCTCACAAAATAAACAAATATTTCACAAGGTTATGAGTAATATAAGTTCGTTTTTTGTGGGGGTAAAAAGATGATATGACCCGCAAATTTACACATTCTTCTATATTTTAATCGATCGTTATTTTGTTGTGGTGACAAGCTCCTTGAAACTAGAAAACTATGATAATATATAGTTAAATATATAATATTCTCTTCTAACTATCCTTTAAGTTTCGTTATTGTGGTATAAAAACCACATATAACCTATGAGCATATCACCAAAAGAAAGCGGAACCTCGGTATCTCGCGAAGTTTCTGTATATCGAATATTTTTTCAGTCCAAATCATTCAAGCATGCACATGTTGTAAAATACCTCAATAACTTGAAGTTTCGATACTTCGAATTTATTTTTGGTCGTAAAAGGCTTCGATATACCGAGGTCCCACTATATTATTGTGTGTAGGCATGTACATAATATATTGAATTCCGTTTAGTAATTTTACTTTTTTAACCTTCCTAATGTGAACTATAATAGTCTTAGGTAAAAAATATCATTATAATAATATATTGTTATATTATAACGTAAAAAAAAATGCTATCTTAAAAAGTAATAACATTAAGTTTAGACGACCCTGTCCAGTAAACTTTATATGAATAAAAAAAATGTAAATTTATGTAATACATTAATTAAAAGTGCACTTATTATTTTTAAGTCAAACACCATTTAAAATTATTGATGCATAAATGTATATTATAGTAGGTACATACTATAATATGCTTCGTGCGTCTTAAAATAATACAATTTAATTAAGTATATATTGGTTAATTAGCGTAAAGTGAAAAATATAAGATTTAATTTAAAATTTTAACTGTTTTAAAAACAAATAATTTATAATTGTGAGTTCAAAAGTTTTCTCGCTTTTCTCCATTACTTTTTAAGTTTTAAAATAATAATAACTTATAAATAAGCCATTCAAGACTAACGATTTCAATTTTCTTCTAAATAAGTTTGGACGATTTTGTCTTTAATATCAAATAATAATACACTTACAAAAATGCATTATATCGATCAATATTTAATACTTGTACGAAGTTGTACCTATATTTCGAGTACTCTTAGTTACTTATTCTCAAAAAATAATACACATTATAATGTAGCTGTGTTATTGTCTGGTCATATGAAAATTAGTAAATTTTCCAATAACACTGTTGCGGTGGTTCTATTCCTTTTATTTTACTAAGACGATCGTAGCTTACTTTTATATCAAAAAATTCCCATAAGAAGAGGGAAAAAATAGTTTAAAATAAATATTTTGAATGTTATTATAACAATATTATAAAGAAACGTGACACACTCAGACCGTATAACTGACAGAAAAACAAAAAGAAACAAAATTGAAAACTATTGAAAATCGTAACCATACCTATATTATTGTCATAATATAGATAATTTTACACCGAGATACGTTTAAATATCATACACAGGTCATATTATTAAGGGTTTTTCGTTGGTTATTTGTGTCCCTGGGTCAGGTAAGTTTCGGTAACTACTGCAAAGCAGTGACCTCGACAACTCGGTGGCTGCTTTGAGAGGCAGTTGTCGTGGAGCCGATAAGATAATGTAGTATTTTTAATGCTCTCCGATGTAATGGGTTTTCGACCACTTCACAAACAGAATTACCGTGAGACACGGGCCATCCACAGCTTTCTCGATAATATCTAAATAATATTATTATTAATGTGATTAAGCATGGTAAGCGGCAGTGGCGTCTTCGCACCGCGATAGTAATAATAATAATAATTTATAATAATAATAATTATTATTATTATTATTGTACAACAGCAACGGGGCAGTTTACAGTAGTGGCGGTGCAGGAGTTATGTTTATTTTCTGTGTTTTCGACAGGATGGTCCATTCCAAGTGTTGGCAGCCACGTGGTCGCCAAACAACCAAAAACTGGCGGTGTGCAACAACGACAGGGTGGTGTTGCTGTTCGACGAGGCTGGCGTGAAAAGGGACAAGTTTCCCACTAAGCCCTCCGAGCACGGGGTAAATACGAAGTGTACGCGAGCCACTTTCGGCCCTTATATATATATATATATATATATATATATATATATATATATAGATTACGCGCGAGTGGACTACTAATCTCCGTATTTATACATTTATATGGGTTACGACTCGAACACAGTAACACACACACTAGCACACGCACAAACACTTACACGGGCGCGGGCGTGGGCTCCAAGTACGAGGAGTACAACACTACACGATTGGGCAAAGATAGAGAGGGGAGCCTCGACCGAACGAGACTATAAAACCATATCCCAGGTCTAGCCTTTGGCCCACCAACGTTCACCACACCTACAATTTTAACTAGTCTATTTTGTTTTTATTGAGGTATACCGCTGCCTCCACCACACCCTACCAGAAGCATATAGGTATTTACGGGAAATGAAACTGTACATGTATTGTAGGTACCTATATAAAATCCCTGTAGAGGGATCGTGAGTGAGTGAGCGGAAGTGATTGAGACGGAGGGAAACACAGGGTCATCAAAGTTTCGAGGTGCGCTCACAGGTCACCCACGTATAGGGGGTAGCCCTATAGTTATGCCATTATTTAAAACGTTTTTCGATCGAATTCACCCAGTGCTATTTAGTTCACAACCAGTGACGTACACTAAAAAATAAATAGGGGTAGCAAATTGATTCGGTTACCTCTATATTGGCTATTCGTGATGTAAATATTTTGGAGCCAGGGGGTCCACCCACCCACCTACCAGAAAAAATCAGGGGTACAACTGCTACCCTTGAACCCTCCAGTGTGCGCCACTGTAATCACAACCGATAAACCGAATAATATCGATCGACACCTGTGTTTTTTAATTATTGTTTTACCAATAGAGCAAACATTTTTAATAATTAATTATTTGACGTGCGTTATTAAATATTGCATTCGCACTTTCAAACATTTTTCTAAGTATTTTTATAGGTAGGTACATCAATTAATAATGAAACTTTACTTCGGGTACATTACTGTAATGCACCTGAAATTATTATAAACCTGAAAATCGATGACAACCACAACAATTGGACTATTTCAATTAATTATATTGGTCTTGAGTATGCTTTATTAATTCTAAATAATTGTATACGATTGAGTTTCGTTTTTATCATAATCAAAGTTAACATTTATTCTAAGCTCTATAAATTATCAAAAATAACAACAACATAACCATAGTATAGTATCAGATAAATTCCATAATTTGGTTATAGGTAGTTATCGGTGGACGTGTAACTACTACGTACCTATGAATATGCATAACACTTTTTAATAAAGTTAATGTATTTACGACATTTTACGATAATAATTTACACCAAATCGCCCAACAGTTTTAGTATTAATTTATATGTTTTTATTTGAAAAACATCAAATACATAATTGTGTTTACAGATTACAATGGTTTATTGTGTTTTATATTTGAATAAAATAAAAACTTGGTTGTTGAAAAAAAAATCAAAATATAATTCATCTTTTATAGTTGACGATATTTAATTTATTTTATGATAATCTACATTTATATGAATAAATAAATAAAAACAGTATGCAGCTTAAGTCACAAGAAAGCATAAATCCGGATTATAAAAACAAGTAAAGTAAATTACTTTAAATATTGTGGCGTATGAAAACTGAACTTCCGTTAAGCCATTCATGAGCAATTCGTCAAACAACTTCCAAACTTTTAATGGAAATCGCTCGATATATTGGTAGGTGGAAAAATGTGATTGAGCTGTTGAAATATTAGACAAAAGCAAACACATAAATGCAATGCTAAAAAAATATAAATAAATATTTTTATTTTAAAATAGGAATATATATTTACATTAATTCGTGAAAAATGTATGCACAGTAAAAAATAAGCTAGGTAAATTTAAAAACAGACATGCATTTTGTAGCACTTCAAAAAATGTATAATTTTTAAAACCATTACGATAAATACATTTTATAAAGTTATGTAATTAAACTGACAAAGTAAAAAATAATACTATCAGACCATTACTTCTGCTGAAATCCCTCGAAATAGGTTGGTGGTTTTTGTTTTGGTGTACTGTCTAGACGAGGGACCTCAATTCTAAAGCCCCTGGAGAAAATTGTATGATGAAATTATGATTGTAGCGGTATTATTGGTCCTTGAAATGATGTAATTTAATTACAATTTTATTGAACTAATATAACACAAAACTCTAGCAATCCACATAAACAATAAATAACGTTCTTCATAATACGATTATATATTTCTTCGACTATTCTCTTCAAAAATGAATTTCCAAAATGAAACATTTGGTTTTTACGAGAAATGTATTGTTTTTATTCTGAACAAAAGTTCTTGTATAATTTGTTTTCATCATTACTTATGCCATACAGCAATTATTATTACGTTGGATTTTGTGAAAAAACTTACACTAGCTTAGTTAAACCATATTTTTATTGTATAAAATAAGTCATACAATATGTAATAACAGATTTTCGTTTATTTAAACCTAGATAATAAAATAATTATGTCCTACACATGTATAGGTAGTAAAAATGTACTAAATGGTAAGTATTTTTAAAATACGTTTCACTGATATGTATAATGTGCATCGTAGGTATATGTATAATATGTATATATTGTCCTCTAGAAAGAATTTAATCTCAGTCAGTATACTAGCTGAATATCAGAATATATCCATGGTGCACATATAACATTAGTTAAAACTCAATAACTCATTATTTATTTATTTTTTGTCTATGACTAATCCAACGAGTTCCGAGTCATCGTCATAATAATATTATGTTGCTCTGTAATGCAATATTCAAATATTTCCGGGCACGCAATTACTAATTTCAATTTTCTTTTTATTCTTTTGACGCGCAATATAGGCCGGCCGAAAAAGTTACACGGTAAAAGGTTTGGCATTTTCTCCTGATTCTACGAGAATAGCCGTGGGACAGACCGACAACATGGTGTTCGTGTACAAAATCGGCGACAGTTGGTAAGCTACGGAAAAAAAAAATTGGTAGTGTATAATTAATGTGAAATCGTTGTTTAAGCTTGTGCAGTGCGCCTTGCTTCTGGAAATAATCTTGTTAACTCCACGTGTATAATGTATATATATGTATATTTTTATGTACGCGTTTGTATATAAAATTCGAATTACAGGGGAGCCAAAAAGGTGATATGCAATAAATTCGGCACACAGTCTCCGGTGACCTGCATGCTGTGGATGTCTGAGGGGCCGATAATTTACGGGCAATTAGACGGCAAGATACGGGCTGCCCACTACAAATCCAATAAATCTCAGACCCTTTACGCCACTGGTTCGTACGTCGTGTCGCTGGCCTCCAAGTAAGCCTTTTCCACCACTAAATGCACCACACACGATGCGATCATTTGAATCTTATAATCCAATCTTTCGATACAGTTTTTAAAATGGGTTATTTTTACATTTTAATAGTTGTAATTAAATGATTTTCAACACTAGCGATAACGGGTTTTTGTTCACGTCAAATTTTTTGGTTCAATGCATCGATGGCTTTATGACTAAAAAAAATGTAGCCATTTTTTTTTTAGTTTTCTGCAAAACAAAAAATCAATTAGGTATATTACATATATTACTGGAAATGTACACAAGTGTAGAAACTATTTTCTTTGAGTATCACAACTTTTTTCACGCTTTATTTCATGTCATAAAATTAAATTGTACAGAATATTTTTGTTCATTGATACCCCAGGGGAAATTTTCCTACTTCCTAATAGTATATTTGAAGAAAAGTGATTGTCGGTTTTTTTTTTACCAAAAACATTTGGTCTAAGAGGACTAAGGAATAAAACCATATATATATTTTTTTTTTATAAAACCATAACAATTTATAAAAATAACTTTCCAGGTCCAAAAAACAAAAAAAATTAAAACAGTTTACAGAGTTTAAACAATAACTTACATATTACTCCATTTAAATAAATTACGCTACATTATTCTTAAGCATTTAATACACACACATAAATGTATGAAGATGTAGAGTAAATATTAATTTTATAATAAGCCTACTTCATTATATAAATTGTTTAATCTCTACTACATGTGTTCTGAAAGATAACAATAATGCATAATTAAATATGAATGTAATATTAAAATAGTAAATTTTAATTTAACATATTATAACACTTCATAATATAGGGAATAATGTTGCTATAATTTTTATCATACTCTACCCAATGATTTTGACTAAAAGTTTATAAGTAGAAGAACTTTATTAATTATTGTTGTACCTCCCACATATTATTTTGAATTTTTGTATTAAATAAATAATATATATTATTGTACTTCAATGAGGTGAATATTTATTTAATACAAAATTATAAATGCAAGATTGAAAGCGATAAGCGGCATACATATTACTTATGTCTAATAAAAGGTATTCTTTATGTAGTTGATTGGATACGGGAAACAATATTTGTGAAACAGTGAAAATAAATAAAGGATTATTAATATTACGATATGTCATTTCATGGCTGTAGATTAGTTACATATTTTCTTTTTAATATTTGGTATAATTCAACTGGTATGACGGATTATTGGTTGAATGTCGCTTTAGTATATTATGCACTGTTATCTGTCATATTATTTCAGGTCATATAGTTTGTCAAAAAATATCTATACCAATTTCAAAATTATAATTAGTGAATTACATAGTTGAGGAGACTAATGTGGTTGTATGTATTATTCATTAATTGTGTCGTGATGTTGATTTTTTTTTATTATTTAATTATGTCAACTTACTTAATGTTTTTACAAAATTGTGAAATTGGGTTTGAAAAGATAGATTTAACTACATCATAAAAAAGGAATCTCTGGAGAATATTATCATGCATATTAAATACAATCCGCATTTGCTTACAACTCTTAAATATTTATTGCAGTTATATTTTTAAGCAAAATACTTAAAAAAAAAAAAACATAAATTGCCTATTCAAGGTACTATAAATATGTGAGAGCCAACTCAAAATACAAAGTAGAACATGAAACTTTTGGAGATTTTTCGTATATCATGTAACTAGTACTTATAGGTACAAAGGTTAAATAGGTTTAACATAGGTTAAATAGAATCATTTTTGTGTCCGTATGTTCAATAAGCATTTCGTTAATATGGATAAGACTAACAAGCATCATTGTTGGTTTTACTAGAATATAACTTGGCAATATTTATGATGCCCATAATACTATATGGGTCGTAATAACATATGAGTTTTTTTTGTTTTATAACATCTAATATTGACGTACAATATTATCTCATATTATTTCGTACAATTACTATGTATTTCTGAAATACTATTTCATACAGCAGCCAGTATACAGTATATATCGTGTGTTTTTATGATGTGTTTACTGTACAAGTAATTATATCAATTTGACATATTGAATTGGATTAGGCAATATAACTTCAAATAGTATCTGTATTGGATTAGTTGAACAATATTTTTTTTTTTTTTTTTTTATTATATTATATCCGCGGCGACTATGGCCATTGGACGACATTAATGCTATACAATACTATACAAGGTTAGACATTTTTGTATATAGATACATTAAATATGAAGGAGAAGAAAAAAAAAAAAAAAAAAAAAAAAAAAAAAAATACAAGAAAGAAAAGACAGTATGTTAATATAACATAATATAACTTAAATTTTGTTGAGAAGTCCTGTGTTGTGTAAAAAATCCAACGTCGTTGTCAGGTTGCTCTGTTCGGGGCTGAGTGATTCGGCTAGCTGGTCCGGAAGGTTCAGTTCTCTCCTTTCATTTTCATATCTTCGGCATTCTGTGAGGATGTGTTTGACAGTAAGTAGGGAGCCGCATTGGGTGCAGATGGGAGGTTCTTCTCCCTTCATGAGGTGTTGATGGGTGATGTGTGTGTGTCCTATCCTGAGGCGAGTGATGGCTGTCTCCTGTTTCCTGGAGATGTTTGCAGGGAACGGCCAAGGGTATGTGGTTCTTTTGATCTCATGTAACTTGGTTGTCTCAGCTGCCCATTTGTTTTCCCATTGGTTGTGTGCCTCTTTAGCAATGATCCTCTTAACATCCTGGTATGTAAAAACCAGTGACGTAAGGGGGTTGTTGGCTAGGTGGGCCTGTTTGGCAGCCTTGTCAGCGAGTTCATTTCCTCTTATATTACAGTGGCCGGGAATCCACATGAAGGATATTTGTTTACCGGCGAAGGTAGCGGTGGAATGAGCATTATGAATTTTTCTTGCTAAGTCAGAAGGTTTCCACTGGTTCTGGATACTCATGAGAGAGGAAAGGGAGTCGCTAAGGATAATGATTTGTTTGGCTTCAACTTTGTTTGTTGCAAACTCAATAGCTTTTAGGATGGCTAGTGCTTCAGCTGTGTAAATGGAGCATTTGTTTGATAGTTTCCATTGGATATGTGTATCCCCGTGAATGATGGCCATTCCAACCCGATTTACCACGACAGAGGCATCCGTGTATATAAATGCGTGTTGCTGTTTAGATGAAAGTATTTCCGTGAAGAGATTCCTGTATTGAGTGGAGCTGGTATATTTCTTGGGGAGTTGGTGTAAGTCCAGGATGATGTTCATCGAGATAAGCCACGGAGGGGATATGCTGATTTCAGTAGTCATTATGTTATCTAAATCATATTTTTTATAATTGTTGAAAATGTGGTTAGGGGAGGAATGAAGACCTTGGGGGGAGCGGGCCATTCTGGCTGCGGTTTTGGATGTTAGTTCAGACCATCTTATGTCCAATGGTGGAATGCCGGCAATGCTGAGTATGCTACTGATCGGGCTTGATCTGAACGCACCAATGGAGAGTCGGATCCCTGCGTTATGTATTGATTCCAGTGTTCTAAGGTGAGATGGTTTGGCGGCGGATATTAGAGAAGCTCCGTAATCTATTTTTGAAAGGATGAGTGTTTTGTGGATTTTCAGTAGCATTTGGGTTTGTGCTCCCCACGCTGTATGGGAAAGTGTTTTTATCAGATTAATTCTAGAAAGACATGATTTTCGTATGTGTTGTATGTATGGGCGCCATGAAGCTTTAGAATCGAGGATTACCCCAAGGATTTTGACTTGAGTTTGGTTCTTGATGGTGTGGTTACCCATTTTTATTGCTATGTTTTCCTTTTTTCTTTTCTGGTTGATGAGTATGAGGCTAGTTTTGTTCGACGCAAATCGAAAACCCGCTGTTTTTGACCAGGATTCAAGTTTGTTGGTCGAATCTTGTAGCATTTGTTGAATAGTGTTGCTGTTGGAGCTGCGACATAGGATATTGAAATCGTCAGCATATAAAAGAGGGATGTTGGGGTTGCGTATTCCTTCGGAAATATCATTGATGGCTATTAGGAATAGCGTCACTGAAATGGTGGAACCTTGTGGTACACCGTTCTCTTGTGTAAATATGTCGGATAGGGTGTTTGAGGTTTTAACCTGAAACGTCCGGGTGCCGAGGAAGTTATTTATGAAGTCTAACATGTTACCTTTAGTTAGAATTTTGTTGAGCTTGTGGATTATTCTGGGTCTCCAAGCTGAGTCATATGCCTTAGCAATGTCAAAACTGATCAATCCTAAACTTTGATTATACTTTAGAGCTGTTTGGATTTCATTTTTAATGTTTAAAATATTCTTAGTAGTGCTTCGATCGCGTCTGAAACCGTTTTGTTCGGGAGTGAGATAGTTAGATTTTTCCAGGTGCCACATTAGACGATTGTTAATCATTTTCTCGAGTAATTTACATAGCGTATTTAAAAGACATATAGGGCGGTAGCTATCAGGTAAACTTGTTTTTGTCGGGTTTTAAAATAGGGATGACGAGGCCATGTCTCCATGTGTTGGGGAAACAATTATTGTTCCAAATTGAATTGTATATTGATAGTAAATGGGTCCTTGCGTTCGCTGGGAGGTTTTGTACAAATAGGTAGGGGATTCCGTCAGGGCCGGGGCTTTTGCTTTTGCAATTACGGAGAGCTTCCTCCAATTCTGTGATGAGTAGAGGTGAGTTGAGGTAGGTTTGAACATTATTATGGGGATCTACTGTGTTCGATGGGTTGTTGTATATGTTTGCCTTGGATAAGAATTCCTGATCGTAGATGGATTTACTAGAATTCTCTTGAAACATTTGTCCCAGGGTGTTGGCGACTTCTTTAGGAGATGTTGTGATGTTAGAGTCCGTGAGGAAGTGGATATTGTTTCTGTTGGTACCTCTAATAGATTTGATTTTTTTCCATACAATTGAGGAGTCAGTTTGGTTATCGATGCTGGACACATATAGTTTCCACGATAAAGATTTGCTGCTCTTAACCAGATATCTGGTTAGGGCTCTTGTCCTTTTTAAACTGATGAAGTCCACTTGCGATCGGGAGATTTGGAATTTCTTGAGAGCTTTATTTTTGTTTTGGATAGCTTTTTTTATTTCTTCATTCCACCATGGGACGCGAGGTCTTGGGGAGCTGCTCTTGGACTTACCTATTGTGATTAAGGCTGCTTCTGTTATAATGTCAGTAAATTCTTTTACGTCTGCATCTATATTTTCTGGTGATGGGGTAGGGAGGCTTTCGGTTTTTTTTTCTATTAGAGATGAGAAAAGATCCCAATTGGCTTTCCTGATAGACCATCTAGATGGATAAACTAGGTGTGTGTCGTCAAGTGGGTGGTTGATGGATATTTGAATGGGGATGTGATCACTGCTATTGATGGTATAAGGTAGAGTGCACCACTCTAATTTATGCGCGAGAGAAGTGTTTGCGATGGAGAGGTCAATTGCGGATGAGAGTTCGTTGATAGGGTTGATTCTTGTGGGTTGTCCGTTGTTGAGAAGCATTAGATTTTCGTTATTAAGTAATTCATCGATGATTTTCCCTCTGCGATCCGATTTGTAGGATCCCCAGGTCTCGCTGTGACTATTGAAATCGCCAACTATAATGAACGAATTGGGCAGTTGTTTTATGATACGTTCGATGTCATCTAGGCAGAAATCTCTGTTGTTTGGGATATATATGTTACATATGGTTAGTTTTGTATGAGGCAGATTGACTGAAACGGCTATTGCTTCGAAATCAGTGATTAAAGGGAGTTCGACACTGGGGAAATCTTTGTTGATCATTATTGCGACGCCACCGCTGGCTCTGATACACGAGAAGCGATTGCGTTTATAGATAACATAGTGCGTAAATTTGGGATTGCTTTTCTCGTTAAAATTGGTTTCTTGAATGCATATTATTGCGGGGTTCAGTTCTTTGGTTAGTATCTGGAGCTCTTCAAGTCTACTGAAGAACCCGTTGATGTTCCATTGAATTATATTTGTTTTCATTTGAATTGTATAGGAGGTTTGAAGGTGCTTGATGTGAAAAATGATAGATCTGAGGGTGACATTTGTGGCGTTTATTTTTGAAGCAGGTGTTTCATGAATCTTGAGGTGGAGATGCTTGGAACAGTAGATTGCCGAGCTTGGTGAGGTGTGTTTTGAGGAAGGTTTTGGTGATTTTGGGACGGATTTCGTCAATGAGTTTCATGATTGATGGGATGTCTGAGTCAATCTCTTTACAAAGGTTATGAATATTAATGTTTTTATTAGTGTAGTTTTCTAAGACATGCTTAAACTGGAGCATTGTCACGTCAGTGTTGAGGAAAATTTCCTCTGCGGATGTGAGACACTCAAGGATTTTGTCTTCTTTTCTGGATGATGAATTTGATCTGGAGCGAACCTTAACTTTTTTTTGAATTTTTTTTGTGGTGTCGCTATGTTGGTTGGGTAGTGTTGATATTGAGTTGTTGAAGGTAATGTTATTAGCTTCCTGGGAGGATGAATCGGATAGGTGCCTCTTAGGGGGTTTTCCGTCTTCGGATGGGTGTCTTTGCTGTTGGGGGGTGGAGGGGAGAGGACCATGAGAGTGTTCCAATGACGGAGGGGAAGGATTGGGGGGAGATGAATTTGTATTTGTATTATCTCCAGGGATGTTTTCGGTTTGATGTCCGGTCGCCAAGTCCGTGTTGTTTTGAGATTGTATTTCGTTTATTGAAGGGCTTTCAGGCATCAGCATGTCCTCCAATAGACTTTCGTCGATAGTGTTGTTTTGGTTATGACTTGATAAGGGGGACCTGTGTATTTGTGGACTTATAAAATTGTCTGTGGCAATTTGTTTGTTGCATGATTTAGATGTGTGACCTGTTGATTTGCAAATAAAGCAAGTGATTGTTTCATCAGTAAGGAATATTCTGAATTGAGTTTGATTGTTAATGATAGTTAAGGATCCAGGAAGTTTTATTACATCTTCATGGTTGATGAACATTTGTCGACGAAAGCTAAGAATGTGTTCATAACCCTCATGATTTATTCCAGCTCTTATGTAGCTTATCTGGGATAATGGTGTAATATTTATGTTTTTTAATGCATTAAGAATTGATTGGTTAGGTATTGAGGGACATACGTTGGATATTATTATTTTTTTTGCTGGGTTAATGAGTCTGCGTATTTGTATAATGTGTTCGTTTACTGTGATTGTATTATTTTTTTCTAAAAGTGTTTCTAGTATTTCCTTACTAGAGAGAAATATGCAGAAACGATTGTTTGATATTCTTGATGTGTAGATAATGTGTTTTGGCGATACGATTTTTCCGATTGCCAGAATGTAATCTATTTGACGTATACCATCTATAGAATTAAATACTAATGCCTGTTCTCTGGTAGGTAGTTTATCGTTTGCTGTGACAGAGGCAAAACTAAATGTTTTATTTGGATAATTGGCCGAGTTATATTGATTATTTATGTGAGACGATTGTTGATCATATACTTTATCTGCGATTGTGTGCCGTGTCTCGGAATGGTCATTATCGCCGGATACGGCGGTAATTAGTGGCTTATCGGCTGCCTTGACGACGGTCACCTTCTTTGTTGCTAGAGGAGTGTGTTGGGTGATGGGAATGGTATGAGGTGTGCACGGGGGACCGTTATTATTATTTTTATTTGGTACCGGTAATTTATTATTAGTGATGGTTGTATTAGTTAAACTCGTTGTTTTAGAGGTTTTAGAGATGTTGTTTTTTGTAGGTGGTTTGTTTGTAGGCGGAAATCCCGTCCTGGGTATTCCGCTCATTTTGTTAATATTGATTGGCGTCTGATGTTATTGGTAAAAAATTAATTCATATTACCTTTTAATCAGTCGCCGGTGTGTTAATACTGCAATGCTATCGAGAGCTATAAAACGCACAATCGCGGAGATAACACACGTGTTGAACTGTCGGATGTCTAACACGTACTGAAACAACAATATTTTATTAATCAAATTAGCTAAGGTCCTACTATAACTATATTTTAGTCGACACAGGAAATACCAACCAGTATTTTGTACAATATTAATATTAAGATATTATTATTATTTATATTATTGTAATACAGATCATATTTTATTTGCTTGTCAATACTACAGGACTGTACATAGTATTTCTTATTTAATGATACATTTAAATAAGTAGGTACCTATAACCTATATAGTCGTCTTTAGTTATATAAAATTTCAGGACTATACAATACATTTTTGTGAGCAATGGTTCAAAGGTGAAATGAACAATTTATTTTACCTAGTTAATATTTGTATACTATAATTTTATATAACATATAGTTGATTAAAAATAAAATAAGATCAACATTTGTTGCACAGAAAATAAAATGATTGTACAGAGCAATTAATGTGGAATCGTTTTGATTCATATTTTGAATTTTATATTCCCGCAAAATGTTTAAGGCTAATGTTAATTTAAATTTTAAAATTTAAAAACTATGTATTATAATAAATTATCTTTGTTCCGAAAATATGAAAGTACCTTGGTTTAATTAAAAAACTGAATTTCCTACACAATAATATGCACAATATAAGATATAGGTATTTTATTTCTCTATAACATTTAATAGAATTTTATTCATAATTTAAATTGTTCTCTGACCATTCAAAATATTTAATTTTACAGTCATTTCTTCTTTTTTTAATGTAATAATATTTTAAACAAAAATATTATAATAGCATCATATTCGGGTAAGTTCAGGCATATTTAAATCATGTAGGGTTGTTCGATTTCTTAAAGAATGTTTTAATGTAAAAAATAATTCAACATTTTTCAGAACTTAAACAGACGGTATTGGTTCCGTTTTAAAGATATTATTCATTCATGATAATAATGTATTATAATTTATAGATACCTATTATATTATATTATATTATATAATATAAGTTATAACTGTAGTTTGTACTAATCTATAATTAATATAATTATAAAATACCAAATTTTTCAAAATATAATTAATGTAGGTAAGTACCTAGTAATAATACATACATTATCAATATACATTTTGATATTTGATATTAAACACTAGGCTGTTTAAATATGTGATTGACGATTGTTATATTTTGTTTAAGTTATATTATTGTTTTAACAGTTCAATTTTTTTTATGGTGTCTACTTGGTGATAATTGTATCATACATCCGTTATTGTAGGTATATTTAGCATTTTAACTGATTTAATATCTATTACGATTATAAAATATAATTTTTATAATATAATATAATTATAAAATTATATTATATATTTGATATATTTAAATTAGTATACACTAATTTGTTTTTCTAATACTGGATATTTAGTATCTTCATAAGAACATAAATAATGTTAATAATAATATTCAAATACCTATTGTTACATGCATTATAATATAGTCTGCGCTCAATATTTTAATTAAATTTAACAATGATTACAAAATATAGATAATTTCATACAGTCATGTCATGAATTCAATTTTAATTACTTCTATTTTTAGTACACGTGGAACAGCGTTTATATCTGGACATGCAGACGGATCGATCGTGAGATACATAATCACAGAAGGGTCATCAACTGAACAACAGGTTAGTTTATTTTACTAATTTTAAAAATCAAATGTTTAAATGTACAAAAGTAGACTACTGATATTTTTATTTGAAAGAATCCATTTATTGAAAAAGTACCTATTAGTTAAGTTATTGTTTATTTATAAAAAAATAGTTGAATAATATACATGTACAATATACATATTACAATTTAAATTAAATTATAGAGAAAAATAGTTTTTTTCTTGATGATTAGTAATTTCAAGCATATTTCTTTATATTTTTATGAACAATAGGGGTTTTTAATAATATCTCGAAATAATGTATAGTTGATAGATCATAATGTTTTAATAATATAAAACTATTTTATAACTCAGTTAATAACAATAAAACAATACATAAATACTGATTTTCAATGAAATAAAAAGATCAAATGATGTTTTTGGTGAATTTCAGTTAGTTTGCTCTATAGAATGGTAGGTAAACTAGGGTATGAATGTAATAAATATGGGTATGCAGATTGCCAATGTTTAGTCCCTAAAATTAGGACCGTTTCCAACCCTCAGGGGACGGTTTCTAATTAAGTACCTATTCCATAACCATTAATCGGTTGCCCTTTATAAAATAATTTCCAAACCAAATTTTAAACTTATATTAAAGTTGTACAATAAGTTAAGCCACAACAACTATGATTATCAAGGGAACTGAAGTAATGAATACAGATATGTCATAATACTGATATCACCATGGTGATATTGCGGTATAAATGTTTTTCACTATATAATACTTAATAGTTAACCTGTTACACATTATAAAATTAATTTGTGCGTAAAGGATAAACGAAAAATCAATATAATATTATGGAAAAATTTATTTTTCGAAACAACGACAGAAAGAATCCGTTTATTGCCAACCATGGTTATTATTCAATTGTACCTTGGAATTAATTGACAATAAAAGCCGACGAGGCGTTCATCATATTATATATTGACGGTTTTTTTCCCACGAACTTCTGTGCAGATGTCATATTTTATTCTTCATCGCATCCATTATGAGATTCCTCGATATTATGCTCTGGTAAATATGCAACGTTTCGTAATACTAATGATGTGTTTTGAATGTATAGCAATGCCATTATACAGATTATTCTTTGTATAAGTCGATTGTTATGTATATTATTTTTTAGATGCTCAGTGAAAATAATATCAAAAAAGTATGTGTCAAGTTTTTAAATTTTACTAACAATGAACTATGATCTAATTTAAATAAATGTATTGTTTTAATTTTTTTTTTAAATTCATACAAATTTATTTTTTAAAAAAAAACGAAAAACGAAAAATAATATAGAAAATTGCATTATTTTTTTAGTTGAAACATAAACTATATTATAATAGATATAACTAATTGGTAAACGAAATATTTAAATTTGATGTATTATGATTTTTCAAAAATAATATAAAAAAGTAGGTACGTTTCAGTGTATTAAAAACAGACATACTAGGTATATTTTATAACGTTGAATTTTATTTAAAATAAAGCCATACGTTTTTCTTTTTTTTTTTAAATTAAATTAAATTAAGCTATGTTCATTAAAATTAAATCATTTTGAAACCAATGTCTACACTACTTACTATGAGCAAACAAATTATAGTATTTTAAGCCTGTCATTAATATTGTAAAGCATAAAAAGACTAGGGTGAAAAAATTGACATATTTTACCAGAGACGTCTGAATAATTCAGGATCTTTTCGCTGCCGTTCTATTTTTTTTCTATCTCATTGCTGACAATACAAATTAATTTTATTCAATTTGTCATATAATTAAACTAAGGAAAATAAACAAATTGTATTCTCAAGGAACTTGATAATGGCCCTTAGGAGTCAGTACACAATTCGTATGCACAATAACGAGATTAATAAAAACAAAGTTTTCCAATAAAATTAGAATATCTGTAAAAAGAATAACGAACACAATTGCAAAAAAGTGCTACCAAGACTGGTCACCCATCGTTAGGCTCTTTCCTAAATACGTATCCGTTAAGCATATTTACTGAAGGTATAATACTGAGTGAAATTTTTTTGGCCAAATCTAATACTTAAATTATAAACTCATTCAATTTATTATTTTTGTAATTTTGAGTTATGAGTATCTATACGGCTATACTGATAATGTCTATTGACTAGAGGTATTCAAACTTTTTTCCGTCTCTTCGTCTTTTCGCAACATTTTGGTGGCTCTAAAAGTATTAAGGACACAGAAAGAAAATGTTAAATTATTTATAATAATTAATATCCTTACATCCGTAACACACAGTTTTAGTAAGTACCTATGGCCTATCTCTCATCAATTTTAAAAATATTTTTTATCAAGGTTTTATTTTGATACACACACACACACACCTACATTATGGGCAACTACAATATATTAACTCTAAATAAATTATAATAATTATTATTATAATATTAATAACCTAACTCTATATTAACTCAAATAATATAACTTTCATTATTTGCGACTTACCTGGACGGCGCACGGGTCGTAATCCTCGACGAGTTTCGTCAGAACGGAAGACGTGATAACGCTCAAAAATACTTACGTTAAATTGTATACCTAAATGCATACTTCTTATACGCAAAACTCTTTTTTTGTCGGAAAATCTTCACACTGCACAACACTCTTAATGCACCCATAATCGACGATGCGAAAACGGTTTGACCGCCGAGAATTGTTGGACGGCGGGACGGACGAGAAGAAAGCGATTGGCATCGATCGGTAGTGATAACTGATAGTATCGCACGTATACCTACAATAATATGAACAGTGGTCGAGGTGGTGGTCATAATATACCACGATTCCTGTACAGTTATAATTTATACCACGGTCCACGCGTCACTTACTTTATACCGAGACCGACGAGCATATTGTTTTGCTGGCATGACGGGTACCTACGTCATATTGTTATGTAGTCGTGTCGTGAACCATCCATCTACCGGAACATTTCCAGGGTTGGACCGAGTTCGATTTTCGACACCACAAACGAAACGATAGACGACACAGGTGGTTGTGAATCCGGCTTTTTCTTATAACATGGTTTGACGTGTACGTGGTTTGCATACCCTCGCGCGTATGAAAAACGTTCTCGTTCGCTTTGAACTTATATATGTCATAATGGTTGAAATATTACGTCAACGATTGACATTTGTGCGAACCACTGATTTGGAATTAAATGTTTATA